GTCCGGTTTGAGGCTACCGAGCCTGTTCCTTGTGCCGGTTTTGCCGTTGGTGATGGTTTTGTGTGATTTTGATTGCAGATTCGCAGGCAGGGGCACACTCGGATCACTGAGTCGGGTTAGGTGACTCGGGACTCTCGTTTTGGCTTAGCGTCTGTACTGTGAGTGATGATACCCTCTCTATGCTTGTGTTTTCATACTGTGATTTTCAGACATGATGATTATGTGATTTGAAAACTATACTTTGATTATGCGTTATACTCGGGATATGTGTTAGGTGTTTTGTGAACTATCAGTGAGCTATGTTAGTATGTGATACTTGTTTTGAGATGTGAACTGTATATGTTACGTATACCTGTTTTTGACTATATGTGAGGATGGTATCATCTGATGTGAGGCGGCAGAGGCCGCGATGTGATGTGTGATGTGAGGCGGCAGAGGCCGCAGGGCGGCAGTGGCCGCAGATGTGATATGCACTAGTGCGATTCCTCCGATCGTCGAGATGGTGGGTTCCTCCGATCGTGAGAAGACGAGACCGGAGTCTCGTGATGTGATGTGCACGGGGTGGCAGACTCAGCCGGCGGACGGTGTGCTACCGTAGCATGCGGGGAGTATACTGGCCCAGTGATGTGATGTGTACGGGATGGCAGGTTCAGCCGGCGGACGGTGTGCTACCGTAGCGTGCGGGGAGTACACTGGCCCTATGATTGATGTGATGTGATGATTGATTACCTTGATACCTCACATATGTGTTTTGATTTCTGCTCACTGTATATATGTGTATGTATGATTTTGTACTTGTGGCGTGATACATATCCCAACATGTATAGATTAGGTATCATCCGTACTCACTGAGTTTCGCAACTCATAGTTTTAAACATTCCAGATTCTTTTGACTGCACTCACCTCGATTAACGTGCCACGTGGGAGTCGACGACAGCGGACTTGATGGATGTACGGGCATATCTCTTTTGTATCTTTTCCCTATTGTATTCTAGAGTAGCTTCCTTGTACTCTCAGACAGGATCCCGGGTGATTTTTGGGTGTTTTATTATTGCACTTTGTGTATATTTTATATATTTGGAGTTCGACTGCTTTGTTGAGGCTTACTGGGGTCGGTGGATCCCAGTGCCGGTCACGGGCCCAGGGTTCGGGACGTGATAGGTATAGAGAGGGTATCATCACTCACAATACAAGAGTTGAATAAAAAAGAACTCCCGATCTCCCTCACTCGACTCGCTGATTAGGACGTGCCTCCACCGGTGTATCTGTAACAAAAAATACACAAAACCATCACCAACGCCAAAACTGACACAAGAAACAGGCTCGGTAGTCTCAAACGGACTCAAATCCCAAATGGCCCCCTTGCACGCATCTCGAGGCAACATGACCTGTCACTGAAACCTACGCGACTCACTAACATGCAACCATCCAGCTCAACAGCCCACAACACTACTAAATCAACCTCCAAAATTCTTAATTATAGTGAATCGGTCTCCAAAACCCTTGAACCGGTCTAACCCGATCCAAAATTACCTCAAATTCAACTCGATTGGCCACGAAACCCTCAAAAATGGATTTATAAGACCAAAAATCCTAGGAACCGGTCCAAACATTAGTGAATCGGGCACCTGAAAGCCGACACATTAAACCGGTAGGTTCACCATGAACCAACCACTCAAAACTTCTCCGAACCCATCTGGGCTACTAGCCCTTCGTCCAACGAACTGAGAACCGATTTTATTGCTCAGAGAACCGCCCGGTCAACCATCTAGTCAACACTGGCCGGTTTACCACCCCCAAAACCCTAATTTTTATTTTTAAATTAATAAACCTGGTTATCTAATCCTCTTGTTATCTCCCCAAACAGTCCTTAACCCAACTGACTTGTCCCGGGGATAGCATATCCCAATCTCATCTGGGTTGACTCAACCTATCAAACACAGGGCCGAGTCAACTCGTTGGGCCTGCTCGCGGTCCAGGGCCGTAACCCACTGCTCAACCAGGCTGGCCCTGGCCCAGTCAAGCAGGACCCGGACCCTTTCGGGTCCGATTCATCTTCACCTCACAACCCAAGTCTCTGACCCCGTTGCCTGTGAAACCCTCGCCGGCCGAAAAAAAACCCAGAAAACAACAGGGAAGGATGGCCTACCTCGATCAATCAACCACCCAAAACCACCGCACGAGCTTCGACAAACCTCCCAGCAACCTTTAAACAGTCGAAAAGCTAGCCAAAAGCCTGGAAAAGCCCCGTCGCCCTCTGCAGCCTCTGTCGACAGAATGGCCCAAGATTTCTCTCTCCTCTTTGCTTGAAAACAGCAATTGATTGAGGGGTTCAGCTAAGCTTTCATAAACACACGCAAGGATATATAAAACTAATCCAAATTATTACAAACGCGGCTAAATTAGAGAGAGCTATCATTCGGTTCATTGTTCAAGCCAGTTTTTATGAAAATTGCAGACTTAGTCCCTTGACTTTGCACCCTCACAGATTGGTCCTTACAAAATTTTGCAGTTCGGTCCCCTAAAGTTTCAATTCTCACACTTTGACCCCCAAACTCCTAATGCTCGCAGTTAGGTCCTTAACCTAAAATATTTTGAAAATTGGGTTGTTACAATGTCATATGTATGTATAATATTATACAATATAATATGATATAATATTATGTATGTATGCCTATCGATGAATTTTAGAAAAAAATAAAGAAGATGCATTTGTATCATAATTGTTTCAAGCATGCCTACTTTCCAAGAAGTTAATGGAGTTTAATTTTTTTTTAAATATAATATTTTGTGATAGATCAAATGTAATTACATTATATTAATAATTATAATTTTTAAAATTATTTATTATTTATATATATTTAAATTTTTTATTTTATGTTTGGATCCAGCTTTTAAAGTATAAAATAATATATATATAATGATTTAATGTCGTTTAAATTTGAATAATTGTTTTAAATTTTAAAATTTAAATTTTATCCAATTTTAAATGTAAAAACGTCATTCGCAAATTTTATAAAAACATCGAAATATATTTGAACATAAAATCCATTATCAAACTGAAATCCAAACTTAGCGTGATTTGGTTAAAGTCCAATTCGTTCACAACCTTGTATTGTATTTGAAGAAATGGCACCATCTCTTCTTAAGTTGATCTGATGTCACTTTCTACTTCTTCACCTCTTTGGCAAGCAATAAGAGATCCAATTATGTTATCTTATGGGGTTTTGGGTAGGTGAGAATTTGTCAGCGCCCGCCTCTAGCTTCTTCTCGGTTCTTTCCATCTCACCATTTCATTTCCCCCTCCTATAATTTTAATAATTTCCAATAATAATATATTAATTTTTAATTTTTAGATCCCCTCCTTGAATTTTAATAAGTTTAAATCACAAAAAAATTTAATTTTTAATGGCAGAAAATATAAATCAATTTTCTGTAATTACTGAAAAAATATCAAAATTTTCAAAAAAAAATCCGGAATTTAACCAGAAACGCCTTCTGACGTCAGTTGCTTTGTTTTTGTTTAACTTTTCAAAGCGAGTCGGGGCGGCGAGCGGTAGATTATTTTGTTGTTTGTTCCCTCGGTCTACGGTCTGCAGAACACGAGTACAAAGTAAAGTCGTCCTCGTTCATGGGCTAGTGGCCGGGGCCCACGGCAGACGCAAGGAACCATCAGTGTGCCAAGGACCAGGGTGCAGATGTCGCCATTTTTGCTCTCAAATTACCTTTCTACCCTTCCGCTCCCGTGGGGCTGCGCTTTATATTTTTATTACTTAGTTTAATTCTCGTGATTCCAAATTATTCGTTTGCTATAAAAAAATTCAAAATTATAATCCCACGTGAAAATTTCTATTATTAATCAAACAAACTAGTAGATTTACATACGTTAATTAATTTTTACTATTCAAAAAATAAGAAAGACTGTTAATTAATTTTTTTTTCATTTTTACTATAAATATCCTAGCCTCTTAAATATATATTTTTACCCACCTAACTTATTTCTATAAAGAAAAAAGTGTACTACCATATTACACAAAGAAAGTAAATGTTTTATTATATTTATTCATACCTATTGAGTATGTTAATTAATTATTTACTTATATGATAAGGAATTTTGGGAATCCAAATGTTTATATTTAGCATTCATTAAGTTTTCATATTATTTTATTTAATAAACACGAGAAAATTCTGACTTTAAAGTGGAAATATATTTATATTTATTCCATTTAACTGCATTTTTTTTTATGAATTTAGTATACGATAAATTCACTGATTCATGAACTTGCGACATGTACTCATTAAATACCATGATGTTGAAAAAGACAGGTGATTAATAAGGTCGGGAAATGAAGACCATTGGTGCTTGATACGGCATCATAGTTTGTGGGGGAAAAAGCGAATTTGACCACCCATCAATTAAAAAATTTATTTAATATCATGCTTTAATCCCGTGGTGATGGATTACAAAATGGCCCTCGCCGCCCCACCTACCAATCAATTTTTCAGAGTAATTTTCAATATAATTATTGACTTTTCCGTGTCCCGGGTCAAGAGAATTTATAAATTTTTAAATTAATTTAATAAAAAATAAGAATAAAATTTTATAATTCTATTCATATAATTAACGTTGAATTTATAACAAGATCAAATAAATTAATCTGATAAAATATTATATATGTTTCTAATAATTTTTTAATGTTTTCATATTATATTAACTGACGCAGTTGTATTATAAAATCTCCCCGGCGAATCGATGCCAACACTAGTTTAAATAAAAATGTAATAATTTCAAATAATTAAGGGTATATTAGTAAATACACGCTGGAGAGAGAGTTCAAAATTTGCCTATGGCAACTCTGCGTCGTTTATTTTATTAACGGCAATAATTGCCTCTCCCAAATTTGGAATTTCGAGCTCTTATAAAGCTTCCCTCTCTTTCCTCCTCACCAAAACCTCGGAGATACAACGGAATACGCTCAAAACCGAACAGGCAGAAAATCATGGCCTCCTCTTCTTCAGCAAGTCAAATTCTCGCTTCACCTTCCTTGACCTCCACCTCCTCTCATTCCTCTTCGTCGACCAACGAATCCGCTCACCTTTCTTTCCTCAATTCCTCTTCTGCCTCAACAATTCCCATTCCAAAACTCTCTGTTTCTGGTTCTCGCATTCGATTTCAGCCTGGGCTTGTCTCAAATGCTTTGAAAACCGTCGAATCGCCCAGCGTATCGGTCTCCAATGGCCTAGATCTGGACAGCGCTGGCTTCCGTACGAAGCCCACAATCCTCGTCTCCGAGAAGCTTGGAGAGGCCGGTCTCGAGCTCCTGCGTGGTTTTGGAGACGTTAAGTGCCTCTACGACCTGTCTCCGGAGCAGCTGTGCTCGGAGATCTCACAGGTCGACGCGCTAATTGTGAGAAGCGGCACTAAGGTGACGCGCCAAGTGTTTGAGGCAGCAAATGGACGGTTGAAGGTTGTCGGAAGGGCCGGCGTCGGTATCGACAATGTAGATCTTCAGGCCGCCACTGAGCATGGATGCCTCGTCGTCAACGCGCCCACCGCTAATACTATTGCTGCTGCCGAGCACGCTATAGCTCTGCTGGCCTCCATGGCGCGAAATGTCGCCCAGGCCGATGCCTCCATGAAATCTGGTATGAATTCCATTAAGCCTTGTTTTCCTCGCATGGAAATATCTAAATTTAACTTGTTTCCTGATCCAATTTCAGTAGATCTGAGATATTCTTATTCTTATTTTCGTTTGTACATCTGTCCATTTAGATTTTCCTTTGCTCCTTTATTAGATGTTGCCTTGTTTCTTTGTATTGAAATTTGGTTTTGCGATTTGGATTTAAGAGATGATTGGAAGCAGTTATAGGTGTAGTTTACCTCGTCTTCCGGAAAAGGTTTCACAGTAGAATTAGTCAAACGCTTAAATAATTGTAATAAATTTTAGTCCCCTGATTTTTTATTGTTGTGCTTCGTCTGAAAGAACGTACCATGTGTACTTATTTTTCAGTAGTAAATAACTGGTGTCCAAAATTAAAAGTTCTAATCTTACTCCCATAGCTACCTCCGTCCATAGAATTTAATAAACCCGGCAATTCAGGAGTCTCCCGATGAATGCATTGGCTGCCTGTGCAGGGATGGGTTTCCTTGTGCTAGGATGCACTCATTAGATCTGTTGCAATTTCCGTAAGCATCTTCTCTTGTTTATTACTGCTCTTTTCAGGAAACAGAATCATATTGTGGGGGGGGGGGAGGAAGTAGTCACTAAAGAAATCTAGCCAAAAAATTGAGGATACTGGGATGGCAGTTATGCCTGTCTCGGATTCTTACAGGACTTGGCCATATTAATGAATTATGATACCTTTTTCTTGACTGGAGATCTGATACCATATTCCTTGAACAAATTTTTGATTTGGAAAGCGGAAACTTGATAGAGGCCCTGGTTTCAATTATTTAAGCTTGGATCTTCCCCTGCATGTCTGCCAAAGAGTAGTATAGACCTCAATCATATTAGTTACTCTCAACTTAAGCACCGTCTCAGTTTTTGAATACCTTCTCTATGTTGTTGATGCCATTTTCTATTGTACTTCCACAGGAAAATGGCAACGCAACAAATATGTTGGAGTCTCTCTTGTTGGGAAGACAATAGCAGTTATGGGATTCGGAAAAGTTGGATCTGAAGTTGCCAGACGAGCAAAAGGCCTTGGCATGCATGTAATTGCACATGATCCATACACCCCAGCTGATAGGGCCCGTGCTATAGGTGTGGAACTGGTTTCTTTTGATGAGGCCATTGCTGCTGCCGATTTTATTTCACTCCACATGCCGCTCACTCCTACCACTTCCAAGATATTGAATGATGACACTTTTGCAAAGATGAAGAAAGGAGTCCGCATAATTAATGTTGCCAGAGGTGGGGTTATTGATGAAGAGGCACTAGTGAGGGCCCTTGAAAGTGGAGTAGTTGCACAGGTATGCTTCTTTTTGTCTATGCCAACCAGGTCCCATAGTCTACTGATTTAATCATCTTCATTTGAGGTCTGAAATTTGAGATGACCTTTGGGCAGTCAGTAGAACTTGAGTGGCTAATCCGTTTCCCATAATAATTCGAAGTGGAAAACCAGGGTCGGGACTGAGGCTGTTTGAGACATCATGTATTAATCCCTTTTGTCACCTGTTTCTAGGATGATAGAGAAGAATCAGAAGATTAACTGATGATTCTGTTGAATAAGATATTTTAATGGCAGAACAGGTTAATGTGTAATCACAAACATTTCAATCCCAATGGAATCTCTTCCTGGGAGGGGAGTTTAATTTAACTAGTTGGTAGCATCCTGCTCCTGTATAAACATAGAAGAGGACAGGAAAGCCAACCTCTTTTGTCTAATGTTCAATCTTTTCTATGTTACGTATTTTCAATCTTGACATTGGTTTTCTGTTCTAATGCTGTGCAGACAAGATTGAATACTTTTTGATACTGTTTTGCTACAGGCAGCACTTGATGTATTTGCTCAGGAGCCCCCACCCAAGGATAGCAAACTATTGCAACTTGAAAATGTCACCTTACACCTCATCTTGGAGCTAGCACAAAAGAAGCACAGGTATAGATCCACTGTCTGTCACATTACAGTTGCTGGTTGCTCTATTGTCTCTCCATCAGTATTAAACTTGCTGAACTTACCTGCCTGTATGAAATTTTAGGAAGGCGTGGCAGTTGAAATAGCTGAGGCTGTAGTAGGAGCTTTAAGAGGAGAGCTGTCTGCAACTGCAGTTAATGCTCCAATGGTCCCTGCCGAGGTAAATGAGCATATGAACATATATCCTGATGTGTTCTGAATGCCTAAATGTGGGGTAACTAATTGCTGCTCTTGTTTCTAGGTTCTTTCTGAGTTAGCCCCTTATGTGATGCTGGCCGAGAAGCTGGGTAGACTTGCTGTGCAGTTGGTTACTGGAGGAAAAGGAATTCAATCTGTGAAGGTAGTTTATAATTCGGCCGAGACCCAGATGACTTAGACACCAGGGTTCTCCGTGCCATGATCACAAAAGGCCTCATTGAGCCTATATCCAGCTCATTCATCAACCTGGTGAATGCTGATTTTACAGCCAAGCAGAAAGGCCTCCGCATAAGTGAAGAGCGAGTAAATGTTGATTCATCACCTGATAGCCCTATTGGCTCTATCCAACTCCAAATTAGTGATGTGGATTCAAGATTTGCAAGTGCTCTCTTAGAGAATGGAATTATCTGCATAGAGGGACGGGTGAAATATGGGATACCTCATCTTACACAGGTGGGATCATTTAGTGTGGATGTGAGCTTGGAAGGAAATCTCATTTTGTGCCGTCAAGTGGACCAACCAGGCATGATTGGACAGGTTGGGAACATTCTTGGCGAGAGCAATTGCAATGTTAACTTTATGAGTGTAGGAAGAACAGTTAAAAGGACAAAGGCCATCATGGCAATTGGTGTAGATGAAGAGCCAGACAAGGATACTCTCAAGAAAATTGGGGAAGTACAGGCAATTGAAGAGTTTGTGTTCCTAAAGCTATAGAGAGAGTTGATGAAAATCCTTGGGTTGGAAGAGATCATGGTGCAAGGAAGAGGCCTTTAGATACAAAACTTTTAAAGTTTTTGCTATGGGTGAGTCCACAATAAAGCTGGCTGCAACACTAAATGAAGTGGTTAGTTCTGCCTCTTCGTGGTTGCTATAATGAGCTTAATGTTGCCGGTACATGGAATAACGCAGGGGGTAGGTGTTTGTATTATTTTGTAGTTCTTCTTTTCAGTATTGCTGTTGGTAATAAGATTTATTGTGGTAATGGCCTCTAAAGGTTATAGATTAAGATATGTATGGTTCCTTACTTTGATGAATCCTTCCTCTTGAAACAGAGAAGATGGTTTGTTGTGATTTTGTTTTTTGAATGTTGTAGTGCTGGAGTTTCAATGTTATCTTGTTTGTTGAATGTGGTAGTAACGAGTAGTTACATCTTCTGTTCGGTTAATACTGTATTTGATATTGGCTGTGCTTGATTTGAGGAAGGCTATTAATAATTTTGGCCCATTCAATTGGTGCTCACATTTAGATGGATTAGTTCAAACCTTTCCGGCTCTTAACTATGACTTCACTGGTTGTCATTAAAAACAAAGACTGATTGTGTCAATGGTAAGCCAAAGGAAAAGCTGATATGCCTGGCTTTTAGCAGTAAATGTAAAAGTCGAAAACGGACTTCTAGTGTTGAAAATATTAACATTCTAACGAGGGTTGCTCGACCTAAGCAAAGAGGGAACAACTGTGATAAAAGAGCGTTGGACACCAATGTGCACCGTAGTTTGCAGGGACCCCTTATTACCAGTTGTGGTTCTGTTGGCATGTGAATGCAAGATTCTTCTAATGTTTTAAACACAATTTGCTAGATATTTTCTTTCCTTTTGTTATTGGCATTATCATGTGTCGCATGATAATGAGTGCTCAGAGTGCTATCATAGACCTATAATTTGCCCATTCTTGCTTATTTATCAGAGACATGCATTTGTCACCTACATCCCAGAACCTGAATGGCTTAACTAGTTTTATGTTGTGCAATTAGGGGTAGGCTTGTAATTTTGCTGGTCTTGTGCACTCATGGCTTTGTTCCTCCCATCTCAACCATTACGTTTCTCAAATTTGGGAATGTATTCTCATTTTCGTATAACCGTTTCATTTTTATTCAGAATTTTCACTGCCTGTCGGTCATAGTATGCCATTTGAAATGGCACCAGGTTCTTTTGATTGGCATGAGTCCTCTTGATTATAGAAAACACAAGTGCTCGTTGTAGTTCATCATTCATACTACTAAACCTTTTGAAAATGAAGGAACTCACATTTTGCATCTTGATTAATGAATTATTCAAAAGGCCTATGCATCCTTTAGAATGTCTACTTTTGAAGTTTATTTATTGATTTAAACTAACATTTTTTCTTAATTAAACAACTAATACAGTTTGGCATTAGAGTTATCAATGGAGCGAATTTTATTTGAATTTTATCTCATTATATAGGATTTTTAACTGATAAAAGATTTGATAAATATGATCTAACTATAAAAGTTCATAATTCAAAATAAATAAAGCGAATATGAATTTTACTTGATATTTTATTTTGATTTTTAAATATTCAAATCTGAATATATGTGCGTGTTTAGACACACACACACACACACATACATGCTTATATTATATATATGCAACATATATAATATATAATATGACTTAATATTATATATATTATAATATAAATTTGATTCATTTGATATTATTTAATAAATTATTTTTTCTTTAAAATAGAAATTAGCAACACATTTTTTATTTTTTTTAATAAAAACATAAATGGGAAATATGAATATCAATAGATTACATTTAATTGTTGTATATTATCAATAAACCAGTCTCAAATATAATATTTGTGTTAAATCAAATATAATTATATTATACTTTTAAATTTCAAAATTATTTATTAGTTCATTTTCTTAATAATTTCTCGTTTTGATTTTGAATTTTTTTGTAAAGTGTAAAATATTTAAAGTATGTTAATTCAACAATTTAAATTCGAATTTTTTTTTTTCAAATACTAGGTTTTATCTGAATTCACGTATGGTAGTATTAAACATATATTTTTACAAGATTTTGGGTCGAATTCTGATACAATATATAACATTCCGAATCTGAAAAAAAAAAAAGGCTTAATATATGCCATTAGGATGAAGTTCAAAGACTAAATAAGAGATTAGAAAATTTAATTAGGAAAAAAAGGCATAATTGAAGGTATTAGATCATTGGGTGTGATTTAGAAATTTCAGGGAGCTAAGTGAATAAATTAGAAAGATTTGGGCTTTATAAAAAGGTTGTAAGGGTTCCAATTGAAGAAATTAGATCGACTATGACTTTAATTAGAAGATTACAAGAATCAAAAGAAATTAAAGGGAAAGGACTAGAATAAAGATGCAAGAATTCAGGGAACTAAAGTAGAATAGACAGGAGGGACAAAATGAAACAAATAAAACTTGGGGGACTGAATTAAAGCTGGACTATTCCTAGTCGGTGAGCAAGTTGACTATTGACTCAATTGAGTGTATTAGACCTAATCAAATTGCCTTAATTCGTTATATATACATATATATATGTGTGTGTGTGTGTGTGTGTGCGCGCGCGTGCGTGTCTATAGATTTCAAGTAAAACCCCTCAAAACAATTTTGAGTTTTCTTTGGTTTCAAGCCAGAATTGCTCACTTTGGGTTAGAAGTTCTGCGGTGGCTTTTAGAGAAATTTCCCATCGTTTGGCCTCCGCCAACTACTAAAATTGGGGACTACCTTGTTTAGTTCGACAGTCCCATCGATGATTTGGGGTTGTTGACCACGAAGGTAATGTTTAAATTAGTTAGTTATTTTGGGTTTTGGGTCGAAATTTGTAAGAAACCAGGTTCTGTATGGGGTTCCAGGAAAGAAGATAGACTCAAATGGAATTTGGGTTTGTGCTGGTTCAATTGGACCGGCTCAACTTCGATCGGTTTAGTTAGACAGTCGAAAGGTTTGATAGGGCAATTTAATCTAGTTTTAAGAGTTTAGGTTTTAGGTCGGTTTAACTGGTTTCTAAGGGTTTCACACTAGTTCTAGGATTTATTGAACCAATTTAGTCCAATTTTGAGAACTATTAGACTAGTTTAATATGATTTTGAGCACTTTTAGGCCAATTTAGTATGGTTCAGTTTGGTTTGATGTTTTGTTTAATAAACGAGTTTGGTTCTAGGGATTTTAAGGTTGGTTTAGAGGCATTTATGGCCAATTCATGTTGGTTTAGAGGTAATCAGGTCGGTTTAGTAGTGTTTAAAGTCAATTTTTGAAGCCAGTTCAAGTTGGTCTAGTGGTGTTTGAAAGCAGTTCAGGCTAGTTTAAAGGCATTTGAGGTCAATTGATGCTAATTTAAAGGTTCTTAAGGCCGGTCCAGTCTAGTTTAAGGATTTTTACATGAAAACAGCTTATGTTGAGTAAAATATATATACATATATGTGTGTGTGTGTGTGTGTGTGTAAAATAAGAATTTAAGAGATATATAATTCTAATTAGTTATATGCATCTCATACATACATCAACATATTTCTTAGACTTAAATGTGCGTATTTTATGAATTGATAGAAAGAGAGTATATGCAGCAGAGGTGTAGACGGGATAAGTTCAAGGAATTTTAGTAGCAGACAAATGAGTGGCATTCTTTCTAATCTTAGATTTTGTGAAAATGAATTTTCATGACAAACATAAATTGTTTCTAAATGTATATGTTTTTAATAAGAAAATGGAAATAAATTCATTTTTCAATATTTATTTCATAGTATTTTGACGCTTAGATTTTGAGATGCTGTACAGCTATATGGGCAATGACAGTTATGTATAACTTTAGACCTAGTGAGATTTTAGACACCGCATGCTGTGTTAGTTTGATCATGGAATGGTGAACTATAGTGCAAGCTACATGGCACAGTAGTACCCAATAGATTTAGTCCTAATGAGGGCTAGAGTTTTATATGTTATCAACCTGATGGATTTGTCTGTTGTGCATATCTGATTAGAGTTATACACACACACACACACACACACACACATGTATGCCATATAGACAATTTTAATGATTCTTTACAATGTTGTATATTTATTACTTTATTAAGGATTTGATGTTGGGATATGAGAAGCTAAAGTATTTCATGATGTGTTTCGTGATTTTAAAGTTTTAGATATTTAAATGAACCATGAGTGTTTACATATATGTATAATATGAAAAAACTTATTTATTTCTACTAAATTTAGACTAGATGTCATTTACTAGGACTGTAATCTCATCTCATTTTTATCATAAAGATATAAAGCAGCATTGTCATGGCCCAAATCCCCGGGCCCATGACTGGCACTAAGGTCCCCAACCCAAGTTAGCCTCACAACAACATATTAAACCCAAAAAACTAAGCAAAACATACATGAACATCTCATGCTACTCAAAATACGATACCAGAATCTTGTCTGAGTAATAAAGGAGCTCTAGAGTACAAACAAGAAAAAAAAAGAGAATATGCCTGTACATCAACCAAAGCTGCAGACGACCGCTCAGACTCCAGCATGCTACCCTAGAACAGCAACCCAATCTGAAAAGTTTATAAATTATGAGTAGCGAAACTTAGTGAGTACAGATGATACTTAGTCTATGCATACTGAGATATGTATCACACCACAGGTTCCAAAAATCATAAATATACATACATATATATGATGAGCAATATCAGCATCAAAACATACATATATGGGAGTACAATGATCACTGAGACTCTAACCTCGATCGGAGGAATTCTTCATCTCATGATTAGGCCTAACACAGTCATATACTACGCTCTCGGTCGAGAGGCATCCTCCATCTCATGACTGGAGCCGCACGCCCACTAGAGCAAACTATACCACGCTCTTCAGAGCCACACGCCCACCAAGGACACCACTAACATGCTTTCAGTCGAGAGGCATCCTCCATCTCATGACT